GCCAACGGGAAGGGCTATTGAATTAATGCTTCTTCGAAAGTGTTTTGGCTTCTAGCGGCTTTAGTGGGACTGAGGGAGTGAGGTTATGAAACCGAACCGTGTGCTATGGGCTTTTTCTGCTCTGTATTTCCCCACGTGTTAATATTCAAATTAATGGACCTAGGGGAAAAAAAAGAAAAAAATCAGTGCACGGGTTATGATGGTTCTCGTGTGGCTCAGTTTGCTGTTGGTGAGTGTTAATGGTGCTGGTTTTGCCTGAAAATGTCTTGGAGCGTTTAGTTTTCAAATGGTAAGTTTTGTATGGGCAGTTTGAATTTGCCTAGAAAATGTAATAGAGACTTATCCCCCAGCTACCGGATCCTGTCAGACATCAGAGAAAATCAGTACAAAAGGAGTTTTGCTCTCTAGAAAAATGTACCATTTTTAGCGACAGCTCTTTAAAACCCTCCTAATCTTTTGCAGCATCCTTTTGTCTTATTCCATCAAAATGTGACAAAACCTTTTCATAAGGGTTGTTTTACAGATGTTCGGAGTTCAGTAAGGCATTTTTCCTCATTCATGTGGAGCACAGTCATTGCTGTTAATTGTGTATATTACAGGAACACCTCCAGGCCCTGCTCTGATGAATGATGTGCACGTCTTTAATAAGAGATTTACAGTCACCATTGACAAGGTGGTGGCTGCGAGGGGAAAGGCACACGGGCAGGTGAAGCTTGAGATACCCGCTGGGTTCAGGGAATAGCCCTCGCTTTCCTCATTTTCAGTGCAGTGCCCCCCTCGCTGTCTCTTCTGTGCATGGTCCTATTAAAAGAAATGACCCCGGGAGGTGCTATGGTGTGATGCAGTATGAGGTGTGCGTACCTGTGCTTTCTGTTTCGACGTGATGAGGCTAAATGTTAAAGTTTATACCCAGTAAAAACTCCCTTTCAAAGCCAGGGGAGTCCTAGCGTGGCCCATCCGCGCTGTATGCTCCAGTGCGGGGTCCATGGGAGCTCTCCTTGCTCGCTGATCAGATGGTGTTGTCCTTCCAGAATCCAAGTAGGTTTGATGAAAATAGTCACCTTTGGCCAAAATGTTTTTTTTCCCATGTCCCTCCTTTTCTTACTCTGCACCAAAATCCTGCCAATCTTGTACAAAAAGGGAATGGGGGGGGGTGGGGGGGAAAGCCTGGTGCTGTACCATTTTGGTCTGCTCTGGCTGGCTCTGGCCATTAACAGGACAGGTGGGCATCCAGGTTCTTCTGGCAGCTGGGGAAACACTAAAATGGATTTCTCCCTTCCTTCTTCCTTGGAAGAAAAAAAAGAAAGAAAAGAAGAAAATAGGCCATTAGAGCTTGCTAAGGGTTTTCTGTTACACCATTATACCGTGCACAGCATGCCTCCAAACAGCCCTTGAGGCTATGGTCTTGCAGCTTCCCATCCATCTTGTCTGTCATGTCCCCTCTAACTTAAGCATGTTTTTGCAGAGGAGGACTGGAGACCCATAGCATTGCTCTGCAGATGCAACTGCACATTGTGCTCTGGCTCAACCAGACAGATATTTTAATGCTATTATTTTTTTCCTTGCACCGGAGGCTCTAGTTTGGGTTTGACTCCTTTATCCCTCCCCGTCCCTTAGGAACAGTCTCCTCACCCATTCATGCCCCTCTGCTTCTCCTGCCCTCTCTTCTCCATGGTGGTCCCTTGCTGTTCCCCAGCACATCCCGAAAACCCCTTCCTCCTGCCAAGGACTGCATGGGAAATGCTGGTGTGCAGCCGACTCTGCGCCCCA